GTTGCGGTGAGCTGCGATGCCACGGCCCCCTACCAAGGGCAAGTGAGACACTGTCTCAAAAAAAAAAAAAACTTTACGATACAGAAAACTTGAAAACGAATTTTTAATGGAATTAAATGATAATAAACATAAAATGGATTATAATGCAGCCGATTAAAATTATTTTAGAAGAGTATTTAATCACATGAAATTTTATAAATAGTAATTATTAGGTAAAATAAGAGTTTATTACATAGTATCAACAGTATGATTTGATGTGTTAAGTTGAATAGTCACGACAAGATGTTTATCAGGCTCTTGAAAAATGCAAGTCTGAAACTTAGTAGAGAGAATTATATGCTATAACTAGAGTTACAGTTATATTGACTTCCTTCAAAATGGTTAAATTAGATGATGGAAATATAAGAGTTATCCTCTTTTTTTTTGGTATATATTTGAGATTTTCTGTGATAAAGGTTTTTTTAAAAAAATGAAAAAACAAATACCTCAAAAAAAACTGGAAAGAAACTAGTCAACAAGTTAGTTATTATTATTGCCCCCTTTAGAGCTAAAGGTGGACAAGGTTACCCAGGCAGAGGATCTGAGAGGAAGAATGGCGGGTAGTCTCCTGAGGCCTGTGTGTGTGCAGCTGAATAGGAAAAAGTGTTAGGACAACAGAGGAGCCAGCAGCCCCTGGGTGCTGGGGTCTCCCTCAGGAGGGTAGGGACCTTTGGATTATGCAGTTATATAATTGGGGGTGGGATGGATTGGTGTTTTAGGGTTTTTCTTTAAGTTTTGAAATACAGTAGAACCTCTGTAAGTTGCCCACCCAGGGGACTATAACAAACCAGTCAACCTACAGAGGTGGTCAACATAAGGAAGTAGGCCTGCTGTACTGACACGTACATGTGGTGCATGTCCAGTCTGTGAAAATTAGGTCAACTTAAGGAGGTGGTCAGCTGTGGAGGTTCTGCTGTGTACCCTGCATACAGAAAAGGACACAAATCATAAATACTGTTCAGGGAATTTGTACACACTCGTGTAACAGATGCCTGGAATAAGAAGCAGGACATCACCAGCACTTTTCACCCTCTTTCCAGTCCCTCCCCATCCTGCAGGGTGACCTGATTTCAGACCCCTCCCATGAGTTCTGCCTGTTTTTTTTACTTTACACACCTGGAATCATCCCACGGGGCCTCCTTTGTGTCCGGCTTCTTTCATTCAACATCGTGTTGAACATCTTTTGTGATAGGTATACTTCCTTCTCACTGCTGTATCTAGCATATACCACAATTTAGTTATCATTCAGTCACTGATGGACTTTGAGTTGTTGAAATAGTGCTGAAATGATCTTGTCTGTGTCTTCTGGGGAATTTACATACCAAAGTTCACTTGTCCAATCACAAAGTATACATATATTCAACTTTTTTTTTAAGTTCTATCATCTTTTAATATTTAATTTTTATTAAATGAAAAGTATATGTATTTATGGGGTACAGTGTGAGGATTTGATATACAATGTGGAATGCTTAAATCAAACTGATTAATATAACTATCACCCCACTGATTTTTCTTTTTGTATGTCTGGTTGTCCCACAGAAACAAATGCACAAAAAACATCAGTGAGGTTGGTCCCTGCCCCCTCCCCCACTGGTATGTGACTAAGAAAAGGAAAGAGGGAAGAGGAAGAAATTAATTTATTATAACTAGGATATGTCATTAAATCACAACTATCACCTGTTTACACATAGTATCCCTTGGGAAATTCTTTTCCGGTTTTAAGCCTAAATGGGCCTTTCCCTAGGTGGAAGGAAGAGGAAGGGGATGCGGCAGGGGTGCAGGCAGTGGGCAGCGGGTAGGAGGGAACAAGAGCACCGTGAGTTGACTCTGCTAAGTTAAGCTTCGGAACTAGAATGCACCTTTCCCAACTGACCTAGAGAATCCGAAGCATTCCAGAACCTTGCAAAAACTTCCTTTCTACATGTGATAGATAAGTTGAAAAAATAAGCAGTCCCCCCTTCTCGTGGGGGACATGTTTCAAGGCCCAACCACAGATGATCCCAAACCCTGTATTTACTAACTTTTTTCCTATACATACATACCTATGGGAAAGTTTATAAATTGGGCTTAATAAGAAATTAATGATAACTAAAATATAATAATAAAATTAATTATAATAATTCTCATCCTGAGTACTCAGAATGGCATGCAATTTAAAACTTACAAATTATTTATTTTAGGAATTTTCCATTTACTATTTTAGGACTATGGTTGCCTATAGGTAACTGAATTCATGGAAAGTAAAGCTGCAGATAAGGGGGGACTACTTTATGTTTAAATAATGAGGTACTAATGCATTTCAAGATTTGTCTCCACACCCTTGCTGTGTAAAACATCTGTCTCAGTTTTTAGCATGGTCACTTCACATTGCCTCTGAGTGATCTAAACGTTTTAGCAACACATTCCTGTACTCCTTTGACTTCAAAATGACTAAAGCTTTGGAATCAAAGTCAGCAAAACAGAAATCCTTGTTTTAAAAGTAATTCCAGTTTCACAAGAGAGATTGATCTTTGAGATTTTTTCAAGCCAAGAAATGTTAGCATGTAATGGATCAAATGCCGGTGAGCTCCCTCCCTGCTCAGCCATGCCCACATGCAGTGCTGCTTTCAGATAAAATTTGAACCATGCATAATCCCTGGAAAACAGAAAAAGACCTACTGGCTGGAAAGCAACTCCAGCTAATGAAGGAATACTTCCTTCTCTGAACTTTTTCATTCTCTGATCCCCTCTATTTTTAAACACCTTTTCCCAGGCACGTCACTCATTGGACCTTGGGAAAAGCATACCTTTCAGTCCACCTCTGCTTTCCCCCTTAATCTTACTCCGTTGCTTGTAGTTATAGTTTATCCCCTCCAGTGCTCAATCACTCTTCCCCCTTTTGTTTATACCCTCCTGACATTTGTAGGTAATAACCGCATTCCCTGTCCTTAGTTTTTCCTAGTTCAGGTCTACATATTTAGTTCTTCTAATCCTGCCTCATAAAAAGATCCTCTCAGCTTCTCAGTCATGCCTGCCATTTTTCTTTGAACTTATTCCAGTTTGTCTCCATTTTTCAGGTAATGAGGTGTCTGAAACGGAACACAGTACCCTAGGTGTGGCCTCACTGAAACGCTGTAATGGAAGGGGGTCCTCCAGGGGCCTTTTGTCACTCTCCCAGGGCTGGGCTTGCTTGTCCAGATCTGGTAACTCCAGTGTTCCTGAGCCATGGTGATAGCCAAGGGCACTTCCTACCCCATGTCTTAGCTCTTCACAGTTTTCCATATAAAATGACCATTCTTCTGTCATCTGTTATCAACTGCCACATTCTTCAAGAAATTCCCCCCCTTCTTGTCTGCCCAAACTGAAGGCAATAGTGTTAACTCCACTTCTGTGTGGGCATTTACTGTCAGGGTTTTGCATACAGTGTATATTTTTACTGTTGTATAGAGATACAGTTCACATACAGTACAATTTACCCATCTGAAGTATAGATTTAATATGTTCTCAGAGTTGTACAGTCATCACCATAATCAATTTTTCAACGTATTTATCACCCCCAAAAGAAGTTCCTGCCCATTAGCAGTCACTGCCAGTTACCCTGTCCCACCCTATCCCCCTCCCCAGCAACTACTCATCTACTTTCTGGGTTTGCCTAGTCCAAGATTTCATAAGAATAGAATCATATAATAAGTGGTCTTTTGTGACACGCTCCTTGCACTCAGCATACTGTTTTATATACTTCACATAATGTAGCATCTATCAGAGTTCCATTCCTTTTTATTGGCCAGTCAGTTAATACTTTTTGAGAGGCTATTTTATATACTTCTATTTGTCCCTTCTTAAGGTTTTAGAATTTAAGAATTATGCCTTTAAAAATACATACAGTTTTGGATGATATTTGTATCACATTTGTATTACTGCAAAACTGATGTTGCTTGTGCTGTTCAATAGTACAGAATATGGGGTAAAATCAAAACTCCTGTCCACTCACATTAACCCTCTGAATAGAATTGTGTTTCTTTTTCCATACATTTCATATATATGTCTGTGTGTTTATGTATATGTGTGTGAGAGAAAGAGAATGTTTGTGTGTATGTTTAAATATTTTTAGGTCCAAATATTATATATAGCTCTCTCAGCCTCTTGTCGCACACGGAAGTCATTAATAAACTTTTGCTCTTAGAAATTACCGTAGTAAACATGGTGGGAGGATATATATAATTACCTTGGATTGACAAGACCAAATTGTTCCCCCACCTACATTCTCACCAGTGATTGTTGGTGAGTGCCCACTTCCTCAGTCCCTTACCACACTGATTGACAAGTCTTTGAAACTTTTCCCAGTATAATGGGGAAAAAAATAAACCTATTTTGTTTAATTTGTATTTCTTGAATTATTAATAAAGCTGAGTATCTTTTAAGTACTTATTAGCTGTTTGTATTTCCTTTGTGAGTTTTTCTTCTTCTTCCTCTTTTTCTATTAGGTGTTTTGGTTTATAATACCACTTTATGCTATATTGATATCTGTTATTTGTCTGTCTGTTTCTTGTCTTATTTATTATGTTTTTCAAGCCATCACTGGTATTTTATTTTTCCTTTTTTTTGTTTTGTTTTGTTTTGTTTTGTTTTTTGTTCTTTGTCTCAGAGTCTCTGTTGGTCACCCTCGGTAGAGTGCCATGGTGTCATAGCTTACAGCAACCTCAAACTCTTGAGCTCAAATGACCCTCTTGCCTCAGCCTCCCAAGTAACTGGGACTATAGGTACCTGCCACAATGCCCAGCTATTTTTAGAGATAGGGTCTCACTCTTGCTCAGGCTGGTGTCAAATTCCTGAGCTCAAGCGATCCATCTGCCTGGTCCTCCCAGAATGTTAGGATTCTAGGTGTGAGCCACCGTGCCCAGCCCTGAACAATAATTCTTAACTCAGTGCTTTAACAGGACTGCTTTATTTTACCTGAAATCCATCTCTCCTTTCCCTTTCAGCTTCAGGATGAGTTAGAAAAAGTTGAACGGGACAATGCAGAACTACAGGAGTTTGCCAATGCCATTCTTCAGCAGATCGCAGATCATTGTCCTGACATCCTAGAGCAAGTGGTCAATGCATTAGAAGAGTCCTCCTGACCCTGCTCCATGGGAAGCCTGAGATGGTCAACCAGGAGCCAAGAAAGGACAACTACAAGAAACAAGCGCCGAGAACCTTCTTGGCACCAAACACTACAAACGACATCCCGTCTTGCTCAGTTAAGGAAGTGTGATTCCAGCGGCATTTCTAATCTTTCATCTTCCTCTGCCTTTCTGCTTTGGATGTAGTCTCTACAGCGATTTTCTGGATGTCCAGGGTGGGTAAATGGCTGAGTCTCTCTGACAAACTGCTATCCAGTCATTAACAATGGGGACTGTGGAAGCTGGTAGCTCTGCCCTACAGGGGGCATGGACAGAGAGCCCCCTCTCCTCCTGTCCTTTGGCATGAGAACAAAACCCTGAGCCTCCTGTGAGTTCAACAGGTTGAGAGAATGCTTCACATGGACCAGAGAGCTGAGTGTTCCAATATCACAATGGGTGCTTTCTTGTAAAAAGGTTTTTAAAAGTCTCAAAAGATTATTAGAATGAGAATGGGAAAAAGAGAAAACAGGGACAAAGAAAACTGACTCTTCTCACTGTCTCTTCTGCTTTCTTTCTTCGTGTGATGTTTTCATGGGGACCTGTGAACAAGGCTTTGAGACCTCTCATCCCCCGCAGTGAGTCTCTACCCAGCCCTGTCTGTCCCATCCTTCCTCACTCTGTCTTTCAGCTGGTTACCAAGAGGATGGTGTTAATAGTTACTCCTAGTCTCTCGTACCGTAGTTACCCGTTAATGGTTTCCTCCAGGATGCCACCTGCTTCCCTGCACCCTGGCCCGAGCCCCTGTAGCCCTGCAGTTGCTGAAGTTAAAGGTCCATCTCTGCCCTTTCAGCTTTTTTCTTGGCTTACCCTCTCAGAACCTCAACTTTGTGCATGCCTGTAACCTTCTGGTACAAATGAAGTTTTCTTATCCCACACATATTCCTTTCTCCACACTTTCATCCAGGGAATATTTATGAAATGCCTACTGTGTACAAGTTGCTGTGTTAGGCATCTATTCTTGAAGAAGTCTTTTTTTTTTTTTTTTGGTGTGAAAGAGGCGTGCCTGGTTTAGTCAAAGGAGTGAAAAGCTTATCCTTCCCCTCCCTCATCTTTATAGAAGGTATCTTTTCTAGAAAAGTTTTTCATAAGTCAGCATTTCTCATCTCTCATTGTAATGGAAGTGATAGGTCTCAGGGGCTGAGTCACCTCTTTGCTTATGGGGTACCACTTGGTGGCTCCGGATTTTTGCAGTATGCTGTGGTTGCTCTTAAGGGGCTATGAATTTCCACTTGCGGCAAGCCATTTCCTACATATCTGCGTGTGCCTGGGGGACTCAGCCAGCTCCACTTAACAAGTCAGAACTTTGACTCCAAAGCTACAAATCCAATTGAAAGTACTGTCACTTTGAAGGGCATTTTTCCCAAGCATGGACAATAGCCATGGTGAATAATCAGGTTCCAAGAACTAGACCACCTAACCCCCATCTAGCTGTCTGAAACTCTGCCACCAGTGGCCCACCAGACACATCTTCTGAGGAGAGTCGCTGGGCTAAATGCTTTGGTCTTGCAGTTTCTCCTCCCCCAGTTACTCAGAGAATGTAATGCTGCCTGTCAGGTCGACAGAGCTATCAGTGCAAGGTCTTCCCCTCCCTAGCTGTGGATGATCCCATCAATCTATACAGTCAGGTCTCCACTCCCTGCTGTAAAGCAGCCTCTCTCATGTGAGAGATCTGATGTGCTCAGCTTATAAACCTCTCACTGAGATGTGTCCTTACAGCCAGGCTGGCCAGAGGCAGGTCAGGGGCTAGCAGTAAGTGGTGGTCATTTGTGGTTAATTACCTCAATTCTATGTATTTATTGCTACTACCCATAAATCAGATAGAAAGTTCCTAGTACTTGAGAGCTGGAGTATTAGAATCTCACTATATCCACCATAGTGTAAAGAACCAAAGTATGACAACAGCCTTCACAGGCCTGTAGCAGAGCAGCGAGAGCAGAGGAGGCCCTGGCTGGCACTCTCCAGATGATCTGGTGGGGAAGATGCCAGGTAGGTCTCCCTGAATCCACCCACCTGGCCCTGGTCAGCAGGCACAGCATGCCCCTGCACCCTCACTACTGAATGTGTGACTATCACTGCATTCTCCTTCCTTCTCTCATTTCACCCTTCCCTATCACCTCCTCTCCAGAAAAACTTATGAACCCTATGACAAGTGCTTCTGAGAAGAGTTCCTCCTCCTGTCTCAGCAGAGAAGCTCCTTGATCCTTCTTGGGCTCTGATCTGGCATCTCAAATGGTTCAGGGGCTATCTGGCTAAAGTTTAATGGTAAATTTGTTCTGCATTTGTGTTGCAGAAGCAGAGTCAATGCAGTCTCTAGCATCTTTTAGAGTATAGTATTTAATCTAGATCACAGTAGGACGTGGCATTACATGACCCTCTCCTGGTATTCATGGTAACTAAGCTGCTACTCATGGTAGGGAATGTTGAAAACTCACTGCAGAATGCCTGTAGTCTTCCTCAGACTCATCCATTCCATTGGCAAATGTAGTTACTCCTTCAGTAACTAAAGGAGCACCCCAAATCAAGGTCGTAAAGAGGGAAAAAAGTGGGTGTAATCCAGCCTGAGGCCCATGACTAAAGAAGTACAAGTTTCTCATCCTAGGGACTCATTGAGTTACTGATGAAGTATCAGAATTGAAATTTGTAAGTACTTGGATATCATTTGAAATGGAAGGATGTAAATGGGCTTTAACATGTTGAGAAATACGAATGGAAATCCCCCAAATTCATCTCAGCTCTAACCTTTGTCCTTGCACCTTACATTCAAGATCTAAGTCTGTCTCTCTCTTCCTTACACACGGGATTTAGAAATACTGGTAAAGCAGACTGGGCCCAAGGGACCACCGTCAGTGTCGATAATGGCAATGACATGCCATTTTTGGTCAATTAAAGCCTGTTTGGCTTTGGATGAGGAGCTCCTGCACTTACCCGCTACCCAGAGTGAGTGAGAGGAGAGGAAGGGAAGTCATCATAGAGTCCTAGTCAGCCACTGAAGTCGTCCCTCCCCAGTCAATGGTCAGGGCTGTGAAGGAAACCAGAATACATCACCTCAAAATACAACTTTATGACTACCCCGGCATTTGGCATTTGGATTTGCTGCTAGAGAGTCTTGCTCATCCCAGAGCCATCCCGCCCCACCTGACCACCTTACTGAAGCAGAGGCCCATCTGCTGGCCACCCTTTTTGTGTGGGGGGGTCTTTGTGGGAAGATCAAACCAAGGGATACATCACCATGTACAGTGCAGTCCTCCCATGGCATTTCCTACGTGCCTGTGGACCCCGTGTCAGCAATACCAGAGACTCACATCTGCCCCCAACCTCGTGTCCACCCGCAGGAGTCCAGAGCCATGGAAAGGAGAGCAGACTACAAAGTACCTAGCCACCCTGCGGAGCCTGCAAGGCCAACCTTCCCATCACTGCCAAACCCTGGGCTTCTCAGGAAGGGACTCGAACCATTCAAAGAAATGTTTTAAAGAGAACCTGGAGTTTCCCCCATGTGAACTAAGGGAATATATAGGCAAGAAAAACATTACGTGGAAATCCTTCTGAACAAAATGGCTGTCCTTACTGACTCTTTTTAAGCAAAAACTATTTCCAAACTTTTTAGTGTCAAAACTGTAACCAAGTGTTTCCTGATTTTTTTCGTTGTGTTTGGCGAGTGCTGTGACCTTGTCGTAGGTATTTCTCCTCTAACTCTGTGGGGGGAAGTGGTCTAGAGATTGATTTGGGGGAGCGGGTTTTCATCCCATCCCACCTCTTTTGTTTCTCTGCTTGTCGATATTGTCTGTGTTATTCAGAGAACTGGGGCAGTTACATTGTGTCCATTTTTGAGATTATGAAAATATTAAAAAGTAGTTGTAGAACTGAAAAATTAAAGAGTTGTGCTTTAAAAATGCAAACCAATATCATGTTAATAAAGGAATTCAAGCTATGGGGCAGCCACACTCCTCCCCTCCTCCCAAGCTGGTGGAGGTGGCAGCTGGGCCAGTGGCTTGGGAAACACAGCGACCATACTCCAGATGGGCAACTGCCTGGAGAGAGACCACTGCTGAGTGAAAGGAACGCAGATCGGGGGCTCAGAGACTCCCAGTTGTGCCAGATGTTCCATCCATCCTCAGGACCTTTAGGTAATGGTCTCACGGTTTGTAACCCTAGAACCACCCTATCCCCCACATCAGTCCCAGCTCAGCGTGCCTAATACTGTGTGGTAACCTGGGCTTGACCGTGAAGCCCACACCTGGCAGGCCACAGGACCTCCCTCCTGCCCACTTGGTGCTATATCATCCAGCAGCCTGTCCAGTATGGGCCCAGCGCTGGCCAGCCTGGAGCCTGCAATCCAGGTGAAATGACTCACCTTCCCTTCTTAGCACCTTCTGGCTTCAGGCTTTGATTCTTTCCCCTTCAGCTTTTTAGGTCCAGGCTCTCTTTCAGTCCCAGAGATGCCATAGTCGGGAAGGAACTTGAACCCTGCTGAAGCCAGAAAATCCACCTCTGGGCCAGAGTGAGCATTCTGAGTCCAGCCCCGCTTTCCACACTGCACCAGTATTGCGTTCACCCTCCGTGTGGCTTGGCCTGGCCAGGGCACCACGCCAGCTGTCTGGCCTGCCCACCCCATTGTAGGACCAGCTTGGGAACCTGCCACACGCACCAAATTGTCCAAGACAGGGCCTGGGGTTTGTTCCCCTGTGTTTCCTAAGAGAAGTGCCACGCTCTTATCAGGGGAGCTGAGGAGTGAGTGCAAGTTCCTGCCTCCTTGTAGCTTGAGTTCCTTTTGGTAACAATAGCAGCCCAAACGGTGATGTCCCTGACGCAGATGCACCTGCTGCCTTCAACTGTATGTGTGTGTTCCTGCTGGAGTCGTGTTACTGACAGGATAATAACATTACAAAGAAATTGTGTTATATTCAACTTGGCCTTGATAATTATTGTAAACACTTTGTTCATTTTTTCTTTTTTATTCACAAACTAAATCCATCAGGAAATTATAAAGTTATTTAAAAACGATGTGCTGTGTCCTTTGTGTCTTACCCAGTGGATCATCCAGGCAGGACAAGGCCAGTGGTCCCCACGAGATCAACACCAACAGGAAGTGATCCAAGAGCCAGGGCTGCCAGGGGCTGCAGGTGGATGGAGGAATCTGTAGCACACTCAGCCTGGCAGGGCCCAGTGCCTCATTCCAGGCTGGAGGGGTGAGCTCAGAGAGTCCTCCCCTGATCTCTGGATGTGCAGCTCCCCAGTTGCCTTTCACAGTCAGCTCCCAGCTTCGTTTTTCCTCCTAAGGCAGAGCCAGGTTCTCCATTTTGGGTTGCATTGCCTTCCAGAGCATAGTGTAAGGACCCCCCACTGAGGCATCATGCTGCAAGGACATCCCAAA